AAAAATGGTGGAAATTTGGGTAAAAAATGGCGGAAATTTGGGTAAAAACAAGGAAAATTGGGCCCGAAATGGGGGGAAAGTGAGGCATTGGGGGCGTGGCCTAAAGGGGTGGGCGGGGCTGGAACGGGCAGGGCCAAAAAAGTCAAAAATTTGGGTTCAAAACTGTGAAATTTGGGGTTAAAATGGAGGAAAATTGGGTTAAAAATGGTGGAAATTGAGGGAAACTGAGGCAAAATTGGAATCCCGGGCATGGCTTAAATGGGCGGGGCTTAAGTGGTGGAATTTGGTTAAAAAATTATGGAAATTGCGGTAAAAATGGAGGAAATTTGGGTTAAAAATGGCAGAAATTGGGGGAAACTGAGGCAAAATTGAGATTGGGGGCGTGGCCTAAGTGGGGTGGGCGGGGCTGAAAGGGGCGGGGCCAAAATGGCAGAATTTGGGTAAAAAATGGAGGAAATTTGGGGTAAAAATGGAGGAAATTTGGGGAAACGGAGGTATTGGGGGCGTGGCCTAAGTGGGGTGGGCGGGGCTTAAAGAGGAGGAGCCAAAATGGCAGAATTTGGGTTCAAAATGGCAAAAATTTGGGTGGAAAATGGGAAAAATTGGGGTAAAAACGGCCGAAAAGGGGGGAAACTGAGGCAAAATTGGGATTGGGGCGTGGCTTAAGGGGCGGGGCCAAAATGGCGGAATTTGGGTAAAAAATGGCGGAATTTGGCGTCCAAAATGGCAAAAATTTGGGGGAAAATGGTTGAAATTTGGGTTACAAAAGGGAGGAAATGGGTGGAAACTGAGGCATTGGGGGCGTGGCCTAAAGGGGTGGGCGTGGCTAAAAGGGGCGGGGTCAAAATGGTGGAATTGGGGGGGAAAAATGGCGGAATTTGGGTTAAAAATGGTGAAAATTGGGTTAAAAATGAAGGAAATTTGGGGTAAAAATAGGGAAACTGAGGCAATATTGGGATTGGGGGCGTGGCCAGCCTGGGGTGGGCGGGGCTGAAAGGGAACAGACCAAAATAGCGGAATTTGGGTAAAAAATGGTGAAAATTTGGGTAAAAACCAAAGAAAATTGGGTCCAAAATGGCCGAAATGGAGGGAAACTGAGGTATTGTGGGCGTGGCCTTAGTGGGGTGGGCGGGGCTGGAAGGGGCATGGCCAAAATGGCGGAATTTGGGCAGAAATTCGGTGAAAAACGGTGGAAATTTTGGTTAAAAATGGAGGAAATTGGGGGAAACTGAGGCAAAATTGGGATGGGGGCGTGGCTTAAGGGGTGGGGCCAAAATGGCGGAATTTGGGGAAAAAATGGCAAAAATTTGGGGGGAAAATGGGAAAAATTGGGGTAAAAATGGGAAAATTTGGGTTAAAAATGGAGGAAATTGAGGGAAACTGAGGCAAAATTGGGATAAGGGGAGGGGCCAAAATGGCGGAATTTGGGTTCAAAATGGTGGAAATTGGGGAAAAAATGGCGGAAATTGGGGGAAACTGAGGCATTGGGGGCGTGGCTTAGAGAGGTGGGCGGGGCTGAAAGGGGCAGGGTCAAAATGGTGGAATTTGGGCCCAAAATGGCAGAATTTGGGTTAAAAATGGTGAAATTTGGGGTAAAAATGAAGGAAATTTAGGGTAAATAAAGGGAAACTGAGGTAAATATGGGATTGGGGGCGTGGCCAGCACGGGGTGGGTGGGGCTAGAAGGGCGGAGCCAAAATGGCGGAATTTGGGTTCAAAATGGCAAAAATTTGGGGGGAAATGGTGGAAATTTGGGGAAGAAATTGAATTAAAAATGGCAGAAATGGGGGGAAACTGAGGCAGAATTGGGATTGGGGGCGTGGCCAGCCTGGGGTGGGCGGGGCTTAAGGGGAGAGACCAAAATGGCGGAATTTGGGGTCAAAATGGCGGAATTTGGGTTAAAATTGGCAGAAATTTGGGGTGAAAATGGGGGGGAAACTGAGGCAAAATTGGGATTGGGGGCGTGGCTTGATTGAAGTGGGCGGGGCTTAAAGAGGAGGAGCCAAAATGGTGAAATTTGGGTTCAAAATGGGAGAAATTCGGTGAAAAATTGAGGAAATTTGGGTTAAAAATGGTGGAAATTGGGGGAAACTGAGGCAAAATTGGGATTGGGGGCGTGGCTTAAAGGGGCGGGGCCAAAATGGTGGAAATTGGGTAAAAAATGGGGAATTTGGGGGCCAAAATGGCAAAAATTTGGGGGAAAATGGTTGAAATTTGGGTTACAAAAGGGAGGAAATGGGTGGAAACTGAGGCATTCGGGGCGTGGCCTTAAGGGGTGGGCGTGGCTAAAAGGGGCGGGGCCAAAATGGTGGAATTTGGGGGGAAAAATAGCGGAATTTGGGTTAAAAATGNGTGGTCTAAAGGGGTGGGTGGGGCTGGAAGGGGCGGGGCAAAAATTGCGGAAATTGGGTTCAAAATGGTGGAAATAGGGGGGAAAAATGGGAAAAAATTGGGTTAAAAATGGCGGAAATTTGGGGAAACAGGCAAATTTGAGATTGGGGGCGTGGCCTGACTGAAGTGGGCGGGGCTTAAAGGGGCAGGGCCAAAATGGCGAAAATTTGGGTTAAAAATGGTGGAAATTTTGGGTAAAAATGGTGGAAATTGGTGTTGGGGGCGTGGCTTAAGTGGGCGTGGTCACATGGGGTGGGTGTGGTTTAAAGGGGCGGGGTTAATATATGCAAATGTGGGGGGAAATGGCAGAAATTCGGGTTAAAAATGGCGGAATTTGAGGGTCGAGGGGGGCGTGGTCAATGTGGGCGTGGCTTAAAGGGGCGGGGCTTAGAATGGGCGTGGCCTGAGGGGTAAAATTGGGGGAATTTTGGGTTAAAACTGAGGGAATTTGGGGATATTTGGGGTGGGGCTTAAAGTGGGCGGGGCTTATGAGGATTTTGTAATGTGCGGGTGGTCTAAAAGTGGGCGTGGCCTAAAGGGGGCGTGGTCTAAGTGGGTTAAACCCTCAGGATTTTGGGTTAAAAATCAGAAATTTTGGTAATTTGGGGTGGGGCTTACAGTGGGCGGGGCTTATGAGGCGTTTCGGATGTGGGCGTGGCTTAAAGGGGGCGTGGCCTAAGTGGGTTAAAATCTCAGGATTTTGAGTTAAAAATAAGGAAAATTTGGGGTAATTTGGGGCGGGGCTTAAAGTGGGCGGGGCTTATGAGGATTTTAGAATGTGGGCGTGGCCTCAGTGTGGGCGTGGCCCAAAGGGGGCGTGGCTTAAAGGGGTTAAACCCTCAGGATTTTGGGTTAAAAAGCGAAATTTTGGAAAAATTGGGGTGGGGCTTAAAGTGGGCGGGGCTTTTGAGGATTTGAGAATGTGGGCGTGGCCTAGGTATGGGCGTGGCTTAAAGGGGGCGTGGCCTAAGTGGTTTA